TGAGATGCAAATCATGTGAAATGGATGTGAACTGAATGAACGAAATACTTGTAATTATAGTGAGGTTTGAGTGTTCGTGAGCGCAGACTCAGTGCATAGGAGTAGTCATGTTATGAGTGTATGAGTGACTCAACAATAATTGAATTCTTATTAAAAGTAATTCATTTGACGATCACTTCAGTCGACCATATCTTCAACTCAACCAACATTTGATCCAATCTTGAGTCCACTGATCACATCAAACCAACTCTCGATTATCGCAATCTATTGTCATTGAATTGAAGGCAAACGATGGCAGACAAGAAGAAGTATGAAATGATAGACTCATTGCCGGCTTTGTTATGCATTTGACTGAATGACTCTTTCTTTGCTGATCTGATCCGTAGTGACAAAGACTTGTCGACCGCTATCTTGAATACCAAACAAAAGCCGAATCGGCTTCTGGTGGAGGAGGCGGCCAACGATGACAACTCTGTGGTGGCCTTATCTCAGGTGAGACTCATGCGAGCAATGGTTGAGTGCAATGACTGGACATTTGGTGTGATTGCAGGCGAAGATGGATGAGTTGCAGCTCTTCAGAGGAGATACCGTTCTCCTGAAGGGCAAGAAGAGGAGGGAAACGGTTTGTATTGTACTGTCGGACGAGTCGTGTCCTAACGAGAAGATCCGAATGAACCGTTGCATCCGAAACAACCTTCGCGTCCGATTGGGTGATGTGGTGAGTGTCCAGCCGTGTCCTGACGTGAAGTATGGGAAACGCATTCATGTGCTGCCCATCGATGACACGGTCGAGGGTCTCACGGGAAGTATATTCGATGTGTTCCTCAAACCATACTTCCTGGAGGCGTACCGACCCATACATAAGGGCGACCTCTTCATCGTGAGGGGAGGCATGAGAGCCGTCGAGTTCAAAGTGGTGGAGACGGACCCCTCGCCCTTCTGTATCGTCGCGCCCGACACTGTCATCCACTGTGAGGGCGAGCCCGTGAAGCGCGAGGAGGAGGAGGACTCTCTGAACTCTGTCGGTTACGACGATATCGGCGGATGTCGTAAACAATTGGCACAAATCAAAGAGATGGTGGAACTGCCGCTCAGACACCCGAGTCTTTTCAAAGCCATTGGTGTGAAGCCTCCCAGAGGTATACTACTGTACGGCCCGCCCGGAACCGGTAAGACTCTGATCGCCCGCGCGGTGGCCAACGAGACGGGCGCCTTCTTCTTCCTGATCAACGGTCCGGAAATCATGAGTAAACTCGCGGGTGAGTCGGAAAGCAATTTGCGGAAAGCCTTCGAAGAGGCCGAGAAGAACTCTCCGGCGATTATATTCATCGATGAATTGGACGCAATCGCTCCGAAACGCGAGAAAACTCACGGAGAGGTCGAGAGACGTATCGTTTCACAACTGCTTACTCTTATGGATGGACTCAAACAGCGATCCCATGTCATCGTAATGGCGGCCACTAATCGTCCGAATAGTATCGACGCCGCTCTTCGACGTTTCGGTCGCTTCGATCGCGAGGTAGACATCGGTATACCTGACGCCACCGGAAGACTAGAGATATTAAGAATCCATACGAAGAATATGAAACTCGCGGATGACGTGGATTTGGAACGAATGGCTGCCGAGACTCACGGCTTCGTTGGCGCAGATTTGGCCGCTCTTTGTTCTGAAGCCGCTCTGCAACAGATCCGCGAGAAAATGGATTTAATAGACTTAGAGGACGACCAAATCGATGCCGAAGTCCTCAACTCTTTGGCCGTAACTATGGATAACTTCCGGTGGGCTCTCGGAAAGAGCAGTCCGAGTGCTCTGAGAGAGATGGTTGTGGAGGTGCCGAACGTGACCTGGCAGGACATTGGAGGCCTACAGAATGTGAAGCATGAGCTCCAGGAGATGATCCAATACCCCGTGGAATTCCCCGACAAGTTCCTCAAGTTTGGAATGACTCCCTCCAGAGGGGTCCTCTTCTACGGACCGCCCGGTTGTGGTAAAACACTTCTGGCAAAAGCCATCGCCAATGAATGTCAGGCGAACTTCATATCAATCAAAGGTCCGGAACTGTTGACGATGTGGTTCGGCGAGAGTGAAGCCAACGTTCGCGATGTCTTCGATAAGGTATGGAAGTGTCGTTCAATGAGTTGTTTCTCACTTTGCATTCATTTATGTTGTGTTTAACTGAAGGCAAGAGCGGCCGCTCCCTGTGTTCTGTTCTTCGATGAGTTGGACTCTATAGCTAAGTCTCGCGGAGGAAGTGTTGGCGACGCCGGCGGTGCTGCCGATCGAGTGATTAATCAGATCCTCACTGAAATGGATGGCATGAGTAGCAAAAAGAACGTCTTTATAATCGGTGCCACCAATAGACCAGACATTATCGACTCGGCTATCTTAAGACCGGGACGTTTGGATCAACTGATTTACATTCCTCTGCCGGACGAGAAGTCCCGAGAAATGATTCTGAAGGCAAACCTCCGAAAGTCTCCGTTGGCTAAAGACGTGGAGTTGCCGTACATCGCGAAAGTGTCGCATGGGTTCAGTGGCGCCGACTTGACTGAGATCTGTCAGCGCGCCTGCAAACTGGCCATCAGAGAGTCCATTGAGGCTGAGATCAAGAAGGAGAAGGAAAGGGCTCAGAATCCAGACGCAGCCGCTATGGTATGTGTGTCACCATTGAGTGTGAGTGCAGTGATTGATTTATTGGTATTGATGTTCACAGGAGGTCGAAGAGGTGGATCCGGTGCCAGAGATAACGCGCTCTCATTTCGAAGAGGCAATGAAGTTCGCGCGCCGTTCGGTCAGTGACGCCGACATTAGGAAATATGAGATGTTTTCTCAAACTCTACAACAAAGTCGAGGCTTTGGCAACAATTTTAGGTATGAATGCATTGACGAAAGCCCTAAATATGTGAAGTAATGTATGTATTGACTGGTGTTTAGATTCCCGGGCAGTCAGCCGTCGGGTGCACCCACTGCTAGTGACCCTCAGAGTAACTTCGCTGACGAACAGGAAGACGATCTCTACAGTTAAATGATTTATTAATAGATACACTGTATTTAGATAATTAGTGGCAAATATTTTATTCATATAATTTGATATATTCTCGCTATTCATACGATTATAAAATTTTCAAAATTTCTTTTTTTATAAATCAATATAAAGGTCTTTGTTTTGGTTAATGATTTCATTCAAATTTGTCACTAATTCTATAATAAAATATTTAATAATATTCTATTTTAAGATTATTTTTAATATAATAAATATGATATTTGTATCATATATGGCATGAATGAAGTCGATTGAACGCGATTTAAAGTCGATTTCTCGAAATTCATTTATTATAATAAATTACAAGTTATTTACAATTTTTTATATAATATATACTGTATATAATATACCGTATTTATATAATTGTATATAATGTACAAAATTTAATGGTAAGACTAGTTCGCTATAAATTAATTGTCAATTAATTGCTGTAATGAGAAGTGGCGCTCATTTGATACTGTCGTACGTCGAGTGCAATCAAAACTTAGTTTGGAAAACATATTGAGAATGAATGCATTGATTATTATTATCATTATTATTATTATTACTGTTATTGAATTTAATACTAAACGCATTATCACAACCATTGATCAAATATCAGCACAAAGTTGTCTCTACTTTTAATTTGCAGACATTTTGTCCAAATACTGGTTATACTAAGTATTGCAATCCATTGTCAGTCGTTGGCAATCGGAGTATCTCTCGTAATACTGTTTGTAAATTATAATCAATTAGTCACCCATTAGTTGCCATCACATCACTAATTATGTCCAATCGATTCGATCCAATAGTCTCTATAAGTGAACTCATCAAAGAGTCCATCAGATCTGCCCTAACACTGAGTCCATTGAACGCACAGTTGATTATAAACTACTCAACAAATAGAGTCCAATTGGAAACAAGAATATGGTTTTGAGCACAAATCCAACACTATTGATATGAAGTGTGAGTGCAGTGGATCTCATCTGATTGCACACACCTGTCAGACCATCAAAACATTTAGTAATTGAGTCCAATTTTATAATACAATCAAACATACCTTTATTCACAAGACTCAGAGCCAAATGGCTTTCCCTTTGCCACGGACTGCTCATAGAGTTCGTTCCCTTTCGAAGACAAGTATCACTACTTATAGTCATTTGGAGTCCACTCTCGGTTTGATCGTAAGCTAAACAATACTGTCGGATGTCGTCCTCATTGGAAGAGGCGATCAAATAAGTGGTTCCGTTCTCTTTCCACCCGCCCTTACATCTGAAGTCTGTATACAATGACAGCATTAGTACAACATTGCAATCATTCACCACAAAGAGACCATTACTTCGAATGTTATCATTGAAAGTGCATTTGGACTGGAGTTGGATGTGATCGTTGGAGTTGCACCGGGAGTTCAGTGACGAGTGCTCCGAACATATCAATAACGACTTCTCGTTGGAGGGATTCGGTTGACGATCATTGAGTCCACTATAGAGACCTCCGTCAGGAACATTGACTGCATATATGCCTTCGAAGGGACAGTCACTCGTCTCCGATGACGTCGCTGTACACACAATACAACACAATGGTTAGCATTGGGATCGTAATTGTCAACTGTAGTGGTAATCAACACTCACTCGTAAGGGTTGCATATTTTGCATGAAATGGTTTGAAGTGTTGAGAACAGGCATCGAATGGCTGTTTGGCGGACGAGCCGTATTGTAATTCAATGATTTGATTCGAGCGCTTATATATTCGCAAACACATGAATCCGCTTTTACTAAAACACAAATGCATTCAATGAGTGCTCATTATTAGAGTGCAGGACAGGGATGTAATACCAGCCCGAAGTGAAGTGAACCACATATTGGCTGAAATCAAAGGCATCGTTGGAGACACTTGTCGTGTGATTCTCCTCATGAATACAAAGGCCGAGTCGGACGACGTCTCCACCATTTGTCACGTTATATACAGTGAATGAGTTGTTTTGTCGGGTGAAGTCATACATGTGTGAGCCGTCCAATGACTTCCAATGTCTCCTCACTGTAAGCCACTTCGGGAACTGACATCTGGGGATAACACCGATTGTCTTATAGATCTTCATTGTGCGCGACCCGTCTTTCGGCGAAAGGAGACCATCACAGGTGGCGTCACCGGACTGTGCGATCTCATAGCCCTCGGGCGCGTCCTTAATCTTGTCGAACACAAAGCACCGGAACCGGTCCTCATCGGTCTTCGCCGAGTCGTGATGTAGTTTCCCCACTAAATAACGATATGAACCCTCTTTCCAGTCCGCAAAACACTCCAATTCCTCCACTAAACCACACATTTGGTTAGCAAACAGTTAGAACTGAAATCAATTGGTTTTGTCGATCACTTACCTCTGCTTTCAGACCCCTGAACGTCAGCACAGGCTTTGAATCTGAAGAGGAGGTGCTTGTCGTCAGTGCACGAGTCTATCTGAGAGATGGGTTCTTTGCATTCACCCGCACCTCTGCTATAGCTGAAGGTGAAGGGGCCGTGAAATGGACACTGCACTGAACGGGTGTCCACTATTCGAGTCAAAAACCAATACAATAAATTCAAAGTCAAGTCATCAGTTAGAGAGACATTACATCTGAAGAGTGAATAGAGAGGGGCGTCGCCATTGATCTCAGAGCAGACACTTTCCAAAGAAAACCTCTCGGAAATCGGGTGACAATTGAATGCTAGATATGCAACAAAATGGCAACAAATGAGTGCTTCAATGGTCTTACGGGTCATCACCACAACACTCACTCTCTTTGTATTGCAATAGATTGTGATGTCTTTCGTTGATTACAAGACAACGAACGCACTTCTCATACCTATAGACACACAGACCATACGGTTATCAATATATGTGATCATCTGGTGGTGCAATGGGTGCAGACATACCTGTTCTCGATGAGGAACTTTTCGCCATTACTATGTCTGCAAATGCCTTTCTCGGAGATATTCGAGTTAATGATTCTAATGGAGTCCTGGACCCCCTTCTGGAACCAATTGCCCGCCCAATGGGCCGGGAATTGACACTCTGTTCAGACAAACACAACGTTACAGTCAGTGACCAATTGGTGACAGTGTCTGACGGCTACTATACCTGAGAGTACGGGTCTAAGACATGTCGACAACAATAATACTAAACACAATTGTACACAAAGTGTCCTTGCACATCCAAGTGATGCACACTTCGGCCTAAAAAATAGTGCCCACAAAGAGCTGATCCCATGTTTACGAGCATCACAATTGCAATCACTGTGAGCAGTGGTTCTTGTATTGCATTTGACAGCCACTGGACATCTGGTGTCCAAATCACTGTCACTTGATTTGAGACAATCTGTGGTCACGAATATGTCACACATTTTATCACACATTGGACACAATGCTATCTCATTCGTGAATCAATGGTCTCATTTGAGGTGATTGTGTGGATGTGGTGGTGATGGTAGTGGTGATGATGGTCTCAATGGATGCATAGTTGGTGTAGTTCGCGGTCAATGCAATGGATTCAGTGGTCACTCAATGACTGCATTACTCTTACGGTTCACACGAACTCTCATTTCATTTACATTTCAATTGTCATTCAATCGCTTCAATAGCAGTCAATAGCATTGCATTCCATTCACTATTCACTCATTCACTGCAATCCCAATCAACGTAACTATTATGCCATACATTATATG